GGGACAGCTCAGGTTGGACAGTTTGGAGACAAAGGTGAGAGAGGTGAGATTGCGATTGGTTTGGACATGTACAGAGGAGATACGCTGGTTATGTGGGGAGAAGGATGCTGCGGACAGAGCTGCCAGGCAAGAGGAAAAGAGGAAGGCCTAAGAGGAGGTTTATGGATGTGAGAGAGGACTTGCAAGTGCCTGATGTTAAAGAGTTAGATACAGTGGATAGGAAGAGATGGGAAGAGATCATCCACTGTGGCGACCCCTAACGGGAGCAGTGGGAGGAAGGAGAGGAATGCCTGTTTCTTGATTATGTCGAATAACATTTGAGCAGTACTAAAATACGTTTGTATTCAACAGGAAATAATGTTGTGTTTACATTTCCATACACAACTAACAGGTCACTCATAGCAACAAGTTTGTCTCAGTGAGTAAAGAGGATGAGAAAATTGGATTTTTGATGCCCCAATTTTTGTAATGGGAAAATTTAAACAATCTTCCATTCTATTGGGACCACAGTGTGTGCAAGGAGCCTAGAATGGAGGAGGGGCAGAGTGTCAGGAAGCAAAGGCATCCGCAGCCGGACTGGAGAGCATGATCGCTCTGTCTGGTGAGACTCATGTGGCCGACTGCATGCAGCTAAATAGTAACTATGACAATGACAAGCAAGTTATCAATGTGCATCCTTAATTATACTGTCCTTCCTGTACTTCTGTATATGTAATAAATAGGAGTCGGGAGATACACAGTCATTCAAGCGCTTTAGTAAATCAATCAAAACACTGTAAAAATACATAATATTCTCATTCTAATTTTTAATTTTCCTCATGTGCATCAGTGAGCCTTGGGCACCCATGACCCCATCGCCGGTTCACCGGTTGGCCTTCCTTTGACCACATCTGGTAGATACTGATCTCTGCATACCAGGAACGCCCTACAAGCTCTGCCGTTTTTGAGTTGTTTTGACCTAGCCATCAGAATTTTGCCCTTGTCAAAGTCATTCAGATCCTTACACTTGCCCAGTTTTTCTGCTTCCAACATGTCAGTTTTAAGAACTGACTGTTAACTTACCTAACATATAATGGCACACTTGCCATAGTAACAAGAAATTCAGTGTTATTCACTTCACTTGTCAGTGGTTTCAATGTCATGGCTAATCAGTGATGGTCAGGGACGAAAAAGAATCTGCTTGACAGCTGCCACCACGGAGGTTCATCCAACGAGGGTAATAAGCGACGACGAGGGAACAGACCCCGCCGCCGGGAAGCCGCAGCGGCTCTGAGCATGAGCTAGCTGACAGCTGGGAGGAGAGGCTGCGTTTTGCCCACCGTAACGTAGCCCTTCGCTGACAGGCCACAGCTGCGACACCTGCACAGGTGAGTTTGATGACTATATCAATCATGACTGGCCTCGGGGTTAATTGGTTCGCTTCATAATTGAGCAGCAATTACATACCAACAATGCATGGTACTTACAGCTGAATAGAACAGACCAGCATAAGTGGCTCTTTTCTGTTGAGTACATGTGCAACTTTTTATAAGAACACTTTAACGCAATACAATGCAATAAAACTGATTGAAGCCCTGGTACATTATTTTCTTTTATTGGGGGCATTAAATGCAGATTTAAATGCACTTGGGGGCAGTGGTGGCCTAACAGTTAGGGATGTGCACCTGTAATCAAAAGACTGCTGGTTTGAACCTTTGACCGCTGCGGTACCCTGAGAAAGGCACTACTCCCCGGGTGCTGAATTAGCTGCCCCCTGCTATGTCACAATGTCGCATATGGCTTAAATGCGGAGGACACGTATCGTTGTTGTGCACTGTGCGTCAACAAAGACAACTAATCACTTACACATTGCCACAGCAGTGACTTGAACATGGTCTCTGTCAGAACAATGCCAAACAAGTGTTTGTTGTTCATCAAGATGCACAACCTGGCCTAGGTGGGAGACGGAAGCTTCAATACTCACCACCAGTACCAGCTAAGGTCAGAAAAATGAACCTTGCCCTTTTCAGTTGAATGGAACGGCAGATAACGTGCATTTGGTTAAACAGATAGACGATCGGCCTCTTTGGTAAGATAGTGCTCCAGGGTTTTTTTGCATCCCCTTGATCTTCACCTGTGTACAGCAGCTCAAGTGTGGAGGTAGATTTAGCAAAAAGTTATACGCCAGACTGCATGTGAGAGGAATTCACATTCCGATATACGCATGAGGACCAGATGCATTAAGTCAGATGAATCCAATCGACGTCGCCCTTATCGCAGTGAGAGGAAAGATGGTTTAACTCTTTGCGAAACCCTTTGCAAACAGACCAAGACAAAATAAAACTCACTCTTGTAAGTGCCTCAAACACACAATTCTTTCTCCCTGAAATCACATCTACGTCACGCCTACTCCGCTGGTAATAGGCGGCCAGGAGGAGGGCCTTTTGGTGGCAGGGCAGTGGCAGTGTGCCCCTGGGGGACGACTCCACTTCTGGGGAGAGCAGGAAGGACATCTCCTGCCTCGTCGGTGATGCTCCCTCCGCAGACAGCGCCGACTTCATTCAGAGCGGCACAGACTCTCAGGGTATAGAATGCCTTTCATCTGTCAGCCTTCATTGTGCTCAAATTTTGGGCAATAGAATCATTGGAAAATTCTCAGAAGTAAATCGTGATTTCCATGGATGGTGGCAACAGTATTTATTTGGTCATTTGGTTCCTGACCTATCTGCAGTGCTGCCAGCTCCACCCCCATCCCAGAAGCTCCTTCATGGACCATGAATCTTTGAGGTTCCAGCTGTCCTGTCTGGGCTCTTCAGCGTTACCTCCTGAGTGCCCAGTCTGACTAATGGTAGTAAGTAAAATAGTATGAAAATCAGGTCTCACAATCAGAGAGCAGGTGAGGATTGAGTGAAGCAATCAAGCCGAAATATAAAACCAGCTTTTTAGAATTAGAGATCAGTGGTCATTGTTGACACACCACAGCACACAACGAAATGTGTCCTCTGCATTTAACCCATATGTGACATAGCAGGGGGCAGCTAATTCAGCTAAATACCTCAGTGGTGTCTTGCTGGTCAGGGATTCAAACCTGCAATCTTTCAATTACAAATGCGCTTCTCTAACCATCAAGCCTCCACTGCCTTTTATTATAATATGAATCAACTGCTATCAAAGATGGAGTTTTTCATGCATAAACACTACATCTGGCCATCCCACCTAAATCCATAGGCATCAATATGGAGTTGGTTCCCCCTTTGCAGCTATAACAGCTGCCACTCTTCTGGGAAGGCTTTCCGTGAAATTTTGGACAGTGTCTGTGGGAATTTTTGCCGATTCATCCAGAAGAGCATTTGTGAGGTCAAGCACTGATGTTGGACGTGAAGGCCTGGCTCACAATCTCCATTCTAGTTCATCCCAAAGGTGTTTGATGGGGTTGAAGTCGGAGCTCTGTGTGGGCCAGTCAAGATCTTCCACACCAAACTCACCCAACCATGTCTTTTTAGACCCTGCTTTGCGCAATGGGGCACAGTCATGCTGGAACATAAAGGCCCTTCCTCAGACGGGTCCCACAAAGTTGGAAGCATCGAATTGTCCAAAATGTCTTGGTATGCTGAAGCATTAAGAGTTCCCTTCCCTGGAACTGAGGGGCCCAGCCCAACCCCTGAAAAACAACCCCATACCATTATCCCTCCTCCACCAAACCTTACAGTTGTTCACTGAATATACCCATTGACTGAGCACTTTTTCCTAATGTTAAATACCAGTAAGGATTCTATGTTACTCTGTCAGTCTGAGGTAGGAAAAGCGTTGCTATTTTCAGACAGTCCCATGAAATGCTTTTATGTTTCCTGTATTTTTCAGCTCATCTTATACTCCCCTTATATTTTATAGTTTAATACAATGGATCATAATCAACCTTCGGCAAATCCATCCAAGATCAAGTGATTTATCATGAAAACCTGCTGCACCGACGTGAGGATCATAAACCCTGTGTAAAAAAGTGAAAGCACAGCCCTCGCTCAGAGATAATATCACCTTTATTGAGCGTTTCGCACGCCATGTCTAAACGTTAGCATTCACGTTTGTAGCATTCAGGATTTTGCTCCTTCACACCGATTATATTGAAGTTTATGATTTTGTACGATTTTGATTATTTCCTTAGATTGTCATCTGTCATCACAGACTGTGAGACACATACTAGCACTTTATCCAGGATGAATGCTTATAGGACACAGACCACCGTCACGGGCAGGAGGTGTTAACCGAGGCGGTGTAACCCTTACTCCCCTTGTCCCTCCTGGTCCTATGTGCCTGTATCAAACTTTTCTCGTTTTGTCGTACAGTATGTTCATATTTTCAGAAACAACGTAGACTAAGTGTAGTAACCTACAATTCGACATATATATTCCCCTATTATTATCATACGCATAACTACAGACTGCAGATACAATCCTAAGTACATAAAGGGCTGTGATTAATAATTGGCTCAGGACGAACCAGCACAAATATAATCATCGGCCCACCGGGAAAATGCCTGGAATGCCAGATGCCTAGTCCAACCCTGAGTATATAAAATACAAAATAACGGCCTAATCATAGCCTATGCATTCACATACAGTGACATATACAGCCTGCTGCACATTCAGGCTGAAACGCGGTTAAGGATGCCTCTGTTCTCCCTTTCTGTAAACCCTGATACTGTAAGCACGGCGGCGGCAGTCTGTGGTCGTTTCTCTTCCTACGTTTAAATGGGGCTGATGGGAGGTTTTCCTCTGCCGCGTGTCTGCTGGCACGTACTGAGGTTTACGACCCGAGCGACCTCCTTCTAGTCCATCTTAAGAAAAGTCTTGTTTCCCTGTGGGTCGGGTCGGGAAAACGAGGTCTCCGCAATCCTCACGCTGCCCTTGATGAGTTAAAAACATTAGTACTGTCCCTTTTACCAAAATATGCGTGCATTTCAAGTACAACGTATGCAAAAGACAGAAAGTGCATAGATTCAAATTATATATGCCTGAAGTCTAATTAAACCTTGTGTTGCATTCCAGACTTGAAACTCGTAAAAAGTGAAATGATTTTTAACAATGTAACACATCTGAAAACTAATGGAATAGCGGACACAAAGAATCAAAGTTGGTGAGCGCGCGTCCAAAGAGGCGGAGTGAAAGTGCAGACGTGGAATATCGCTGGCAGGCGACAGGGAGCCGATCGCTGTGTATGGGTGGTGTCTTCGGGCGAGCCGTAAGCCAAGTTAGACCTTTGAGAAAGGTTTCCTCAAAGACCAAAAAAAGCATCGTTTTTTGGTAATTTGTCTGTGAAACTCCTCCGCCGCCTGGAAGATAAGATCATCGTTCGGGTTTATTTTGTATAAACGGTTTTTAAAACGTTTCTGAAATTTATTGTTTAGTATTAGTTCCTTTAAACATTGTTTACTAGTTTATGGCAATCTGAACGTTACTTGTGACGTTTATTTTAACGGGGAAGTAAAACGGAGAAGTCCACATGCCCAGGTTCGATGCGTTGACTTGAACGCAGAAGAACTTCAGTCTCTGGACCACTGGCGAGGTAAGAACGCACGTATCTCCGATGAATGCTGAAGAAACGTCATAGAAATCAAACTGTATCCATGATGCAAAAGTATTATCATTAAGTGATGAAGTAGTCATGTCTGAAAAACGTTATGTAGGAGTTTTTAGAACTGGTTTTGTGGACTTTGTTAAACTTTGTTAAACTGTTCCTCCCAAAACTGATTTCAATAAGCTGCTTTTATTATCTTTACTGGTAGCCTATATAGTATATAAATGTGTCAGGAGAGATGCAAACACAGATCGTAGGTAAAATCCGAAACGTAAACATTTCTAGATTGGTTTATCTATATTTTTAATCATTCATGATAGTAGCCTATACGAAGTACCGAATTATCGTTTAGACGCAATAACTGTAAGAATCTAAATAAGAGTTTTATTTTTTCTTTGTGTCTGTTATATCTGTATTCATGTATACCTGTGTATGAAACAGAACCGACATCAGTCGATACTACCCGAACCATTTTCATTAGTGAATAAGAGTACTCCTACCTGAGTTATTGGAAAATCTTGCTGAAGTTGTATTTTAATATTATAAAACTTCCTGTAAGCCATGAAGTTCCCGGTGAGCTACAGAAGAATGGGAAATGTGTCTGTGTTGGCATAATCTGTCTTACTCGTCGGTCTGTAAAAGCCGGTTCGCCTTGGGCAGGTTCATCACCATGGAGCATCAGCCACGCCGCGCTGTCTGTGATCTGTGTTTGGGCTGTGGAGAGCGTCCGACTGCTAGATTAGTATTAAGTTGCAGTTCTGCAGAATTATAAACTGCTTTACAACGTATCACGATCACTTCGTCCAGTGTTTTTTGTACTGAGTGTTTTCAAAGAAATGATTTATCAAAAACAGCTGTTACCGTTGCGGGCTTATGTGAAATATTCCATTATTTTTCTTTACCTGAAATTGTTTGGAATTGCTTGTTTGGTTTAATTCGGGGAGTTCCCCAAAATACATAACAGCTTAGAGCCTTAAGATTTTTATGAAGAAGTGCCTGGACTAAGAGGTGCTCAGTTTACACTGTTCCCTAGTGATGCGGTATTATCTGGGAGCAGAGCAGCAGACTGTTTGAGGGAAAGATGGAGAGACATTAGGCCCAGGAGAGCTGGCGATTGAACCATAGTCCACGCAGCCCGTGTGGGCGGTCCGCTGACATTCTAACACTTCGCAGTCACCTCCCATGTACCTCCTTCCTCTCTTTTAATGATTAACCTGTTTTAGAAGCAATGCAAGTTTTTTTTTTTTAGAAGTTGAGTTTCAATTCAGGTCACGCTAGACTAAAATTTGTGGTTGTGTCTAATGTATTTGAAGCAGGATTCCCTGAGGTCTCACAGACATCCTCTTCAGTCCAGAGATTTACCTCAAGCACAAACATCTACCTTCTAATGCCGCCTTCCACTCTGCATTCTCAGTGGTGGCTGTCATTCTGCTTTAGAGCCTTGGATCGTGTTGAGGTCTTAGGGTAGGTATTTAGAAAGAGTAACTTCGTTTAATAATTATTATGGAACAACATAGTGGATCAGTGGGCAGCAGTGTGCCGTGTTGATGGGTTTGATGATGTTGGCCTTGTGTGCTATAGTTCTGCTCATGTTCACCTGGATTTTCCACACCCAGCCGTAGTCCTGATCAGTGTGTATTCCCTGATTGGCTGGTGTCTCCTGGCTGGTGGTTCCCAGGACACACTGCAGACTCATCATGACCCTGTAGCAGTGTTGGGCAGTCCAGGTCCAGGAACTACAAATCCAGACCGAGATTTTGTTTCTACCAACCAGTTGAATTCTCTGTGACTGTGACTGTGACTGTGACTGTGATATGCCCAACACTGCCCTGTAGTTGGTGGCTGTGGATAGATGGATGGGTGGGTGGATTATTCTGTTTTAATAGTGTCATTCCACGAAATATGGACTGAATCTTGGTGATCTGTAATTCTAAATTATCTGTGAAGTGTTACAGCAGAATTGTCCAGGAACAAACTTCCTCCTTTGACGTGCTGTGTCACTGTCCAGCAGGCTCTAAGGCATCTCTTTGGTGCATCAGCCTCTCGCTCTAAAATCTCTGTCTGGATGTTTTAGCCACCTTATGATGAAGACAGTCACAGCTCTGCTAGTCGGTGGCTCATCTTCCGGTTTGAATTCGCCGTTCCTGGGGCTGACTGTGCTGTTGGAGTGCAGCCTGCGGCCTGCTTTTGTGCCATGGGCCCTTCATGGCCGTCTGCGCGCGCGCACGCGCGTGTGTGTGTGTGTGTGTGTGTGTGTGTGTGTGTGCGTGCAATTCGCCAGCCTGTGTGTCTGCCTTTCATGCTGCTGATGAGATGCATGCGCAGTGAAAAAAGGATCAAAGGGATTGTTAGCGCGTTGAAAGAGATGCGCAGACGCTGCACTGGGCTGCTCCTCTTTCTTCACCCCACAGAGAGTCTGGATGCACACAGATGCGCATGTATGATGTGTGTCCATGTTCCTTCCCGCACGGCATACATTCTGCACTCACAGGTACCGGAGCGTATTACAAACTTATCGTACGGATATGGAGGCCATGAACAACAACAGCGGAGTGGAACTTCCATTAGTGAGTCATGTGCTTGATGGTATCTGAAGAGACGTTAAGGCTGGATGTGCTGCTTAGGGTATCTCATGGTCAGACGTTAGCTCAGCTCAGTTGTGTCCTCCTTTGAGGCTCAGTGAACACTGCTGAACTAATGAGCTTTTTGTGGGCTTATTTTGGCATCGGTTGAAGAAGCATGTTCTGTGTGATTAGCAGATAAGAGTGCTCCATCATCTTCCTCCTCAGCCCAATCAGCCAGGCACTGTTGACCTACCTAAGGACCATCCAACAAGCTCTGGAGGTCAGCCACTTGGAGTCCAAAAAGCTACCTTGTTAGATCGAAACTAAATATGCTTCTGAAGAACATCTGCTTTAAAACAGAATCTGGATCAATCCTTAAGAAATGAGGGGGAAATGACAGATATGAAAGTTCTCTTGTGCTTCCTGAGTGCCACTTTGTGTCCAGGTCTGATGGGTCTCCAAGGACCTGTAATCACAGAAGATTGAAAATAGGGCCGACCTAAATCACCTTTTTGTGTCTTGTTCATTATTGAAATGCAATTTGAAAATACCAGGCTGTAACAGTGATACAAGGAAAGCAGACAAACTGCTCACAGAACGTCTCGCTTAATTTAGCAGAATATTGCAAATTTACCAGTTTTAGAACAAAAATCATTATTCATTTGTTTACAAAAATATACATAACATTAGAAACAACCAATATTTTAAGTAAAACATTGATTTCAGGTAGTAATAAGTCAAAACCCACATTATAGTGCTAAAGGAGCTACAAATGCAATTAATAGCAAAATGGCTAAACGGAGCTGAATGAGTGTGTCAAAAAACATTATGACATATAATAAAAAGAAAGTGTCTGTGTGCGGAGAATAATGTGCAGATCTGTTACACATTGCCTGTCAATGTACTTTTGTTATGAAACCATTACATTTGCAACCATTTATATTGAATTAAGCAAGCGTCCCAATGCTTTCTGGGAGCACTGCATGTTTGTGTGTCATAATAATAATCAGTTTGACTTATTTTACTTCAGGTCTGTTCAGATGAACCAATGCCTTCCTCTGTTGCAGGTACACTGAGGCACCATGGGTAATTTTAAGGGCCATGCTCTACCAGGGAGCTTCTTCCTGATCACGGGGCTGTGGTGGGCAGGGAAGTTCTCCCTGTGTTATGCCCTCCGCAGGAGCAGGAGCATGGGACGCCTGGCCAGCAAGGTCGTGCAGCGCCGTGTCGAGGTCTGTGAGGCCTCTGTCATTCTGGCCTTCTCTGTGATCGGTGAGGCTTCTCACGGCGATGAAGAGGCGGCAAAGGTCACCCAGCTTAACGGTGGCTTTAAGGGATGTATGAACACTGTAAAGCTGATGATACACTGGGCAACATTTTGAGCAGTGTTGCCAGGCAACTGCCAGCCAGGTGAGACAAAGGGCAACTCATCTGGATCTGGATGATCCTGAAAATTTGCCTACGGCCGATCAAAGTTTTTCAAAGTAGAAAATTATTTTACAGTATCAATAGGGAAGTGCCAGTCAACATTTATCATCAGCATTGCTCAAAAAGCCCTGTGTATCCTAGGAGTTCGTTAGGACTGGAGCAGTGAGCTGCATTTTTGGGATACAAACCAGTGCTGGCAGATGCAGTGTAGGCTTTAATCAAATTCCGATTTGTCCACGGTGACATCGCTTCCTGTATGTTCCAACAGGCTCACACGCATACACCTTTATGTGTACGTTTGGATTAATGCTACATGAATGGCACATGTGACCCTGGGTCTGTCCTCTCAGGCATGTTGGCGGAGCAGTTTGTGTCCGATGGGCCCCAGCTGCATCTCTATGACTACGCTGAGCACCACTGGGACCGCCTCATGAACTGGCAGCACGCCACCATGTACCTGTTCTTTGCCCTGGCGGGGGCCGGCTCGCTGGCTATTCACTTGACGGATGCCGCCCCCCTTGCGTTGGACCGGCTGCTGTTGGGCATTGCATTTTCCACAGAGGGTGAGTGAGTTGCACATCTGCAGCGGCCACAGCACTACACAGCCCTCTCGCCTCCCCTTCCCCCTCTCCCCGCCGCCTCCCCTTCCCCCTCTCCCCGCCGCCTCCTCTTCCCTCTCTCAATGCCGCCTTCCCTGCAGGCTTCCTCTTCTTCTACCATCTCCACGGCCGCGCCATGCTGGACGTCCATGTCCACCAGTTGCTGCTGTACGCCATCGTGGGCGGGGCCTTCACCTCCGTCTTGGAGGTGTTTCATCGTGGGAACGTGGTGCTGGAGCTTCTCCGGGCTGCACTCTGCGTGCTTCAGGGCAGCTGGTTCTGGCAGGTGTGTGGGAATCCAGGCACTGTCATTTTTAACAAAGCGTCTTTGCGGCCGCAATTAAATAACTCCGAAATGCAGGGTCAAAATATTTGGCTGAGCGTTAGCATGGCTAAGGCACCAGAGATTCTGAATGTGGCCTGGTTTTTGGTGCCAGATGTTCCCAGCATCTCAAACAGCCGTGATCCAGTGATGGCAGGTCTATGGCTGAAAACACTGTGCTAATGAGAGAGGTCAGAGGAGGACGCCCAGACTTTTAGCGTAAGCTAACAGGAACGGCGTGAACATAACAGCGCAGGACAGCAGTGCCGTGCAAAAAGGCTTCAGCGAATGAAATGATGCTTTATTTACCATTTACACAAGTATGCATGCAGGTAACACTGGAATGCTGTAGTTATCGCATATCCCATCATGCTCTGTTTGAGACACACACACACACAGACAGACAGACAGACAGACAGACAGACAGACAGACAGACACACAGACAGACAGAGGTAACAGTCAGACCGGGGTCTGGCCATTTATCCAGCACCCCTGGAGTGTTTTTCGGGGGGTTAAGGGCCTTGCTCAGGGGCAGATATGGGACAGAGGTTAACCTGCTACGCCACCCCCCAGTCCCTCCTCAGCCAACCCTTCACATGGTTCTGGAGACAAAAGTGATTAGTAAAAGTGGTTAGAAGATACGTGTGTAATACATGTGTAGTGTGCGTGTAGTACGTGTGTAATACGCGTGTAGTACGTGTGTAAAACGTGTGTAGTACACATGTAGTACGCGTGTCGTACTCGTGTAGTGTCCGTGTAGTACACGCACACGTGAGCGGGTGAGTGCTGCCTCCCGCCAATGCCCCGGCCCTGTGCTGTCCCACAGATCGGCTTCGTGCTCTACCCCCCCAGCGGCAGCGCCGAGTGGGACCTGAAGGACCCCAACAACATGATGTTCATCACCATGTGCTACTGCTGGCACTTGGCCTGCGCCCTGCTCATCGCCGGCTTGGTGTACAGCATCATGTCCTGGTGAGAGAAAGCGGGGCAGCCCCCCCCATCACCAGTTTGGGGTAGTACTCAAGTAGCTGTATCTCGCTACACTACCTAAGTATTATCTTGGCAACTTTAAAATTGAACTATTAACACAGATGGTAACTTTCACTTTGTACTGAACTACAATTATAAAGAAATTCTGTACTTGTTGCTATAATATATTTCTATGGTAACACTTTACTTGACGGGGCACAGATATTATGTTATATCTTATATTAACCACAAACTACATGCTGATCTCGTGTTAATTCATCATTAATGAATTGTGACGCATGTTTTATCCAAAGTATTTACTATACCTGTTAATTCTGTAAACTTTTGTGAACTACTAAAGTAACTACTGAAGGATCAAGTAATGAATATCCATCCATCCATCCATCCATCCATCCATCCATGCATTTTCCAAGGTCGTGGGGGGTCCGGAGCCTATCCCAGAGGCTATGGGCGCACAAGGCTGGGAACAAAGTAAAGAGTAACACCAGTGAAATACTGGTCTCATGTTTGTTCATCTTTAATGAATCGACACATCTGTTATCTCAAGTAGCTACTATATATATATATATATATATATATTCATAATATGTTCA